CTCCCGAAGGCCACGCTCCAGGGCCCTCTGGTTGGTAGAATGGTGCTCGGAGACATTCCCCGGTTTCCAGTGGCGCCACCGGCTCACCGTGCAGGGGGCCAGCAAGATCCCTTCTCGTAGTACGCGCCACTCACAGCGGTCTAGTTCCGCCCTTCGTTGGATCACCTCTGAAAACATGTGAGAGGGAGTGCCTGCAGCGACCTTAGTGCAAAGGTCCCAGAGAGAGGTGAGGATCCCCTGAGCATCTTCCTCCCCCGTGGGGCCTGAGAAGAGAGAGAGAGCTCGTTCCACAATACGCTGGAAGACCAGTGTAGGGCGGTATGAAAGAACCACCGGTCGTGGTGGCCCATCGGGGACACCTAGTACACGATCCAGTTCCTGGGTAGGCCTACAACGGGCCATGAAATCCACAATTTCTTGCCCCCAGGGACGTGTCACATCAACTTGTTCCTCCTCGAAGGAGCGACCCGACCCCCTGATGATCGGGTCTAGTAACACTCCTGCAAGAATCTCGCCATCCGACTGAAGAGGGCCGATGCCTTGCTCAAAGAGAGCAGAGATGAGAGGGTCAGGGGCCCTGACAAGGGCCCTCCCAAAGGGAGATGGACAACAAAATACAAAGGTAGTCATCCTGAGCCACGGCGACTACGGGAGAAGGAGAGGAAGGGAAGAGGGAGAGAGAGAGAGAGAGAGAGAGAGAGAAGAAAAACCAATGCAGTCCAAGGGCACTTGTTTTCGCACGGGGCGATGGTCTGTAGGCCGACGGTCTGGCAAGTAGTCCCTTGTCGGGGAAAGGGGGGACCATCAGGGCCAAAGGCGCCTGGAGGTCCCACCCCCCCCTTGAGGGCATTCCTGTTGCCGAAGAAAAGGCCTGTGACATGGCCCAAGTCCTGAGTAGTGTAGGTACTGGCACTTAAGACAGTTCCCCCTCAGGGTCCAAGGCACATGACCTCAAGAAAAGCTACAGCAGCCAGAAGGGAGAGGAGACCCCCTTCAGGGCCATAGGCACCTGGCAGGGGTTCCCCCTCCACATGCCTTGTTCAAAAAGAAAACAGGGCTCAGGCCGGGCGGACTCGGGATGCCGCAAGCTCGTGGATCTTCTTGAGGCCATCCCGCTCCGGGTTGGAGAGCACCACCGACCAGATCATGTCGGAGACCTGGCCCATGAGGTTCGTCTTGCTGAACCGGAGCCTGGAGCTGAGGCTCGGGTTGACCCGGAGGGAGCGATCACGGGGGGCCGCCGTGGGCTCCACCCTCTTGTAGAACTCGATCCGGTCCTTGACCCAGGACTCGTAGAGGTTCTGGGGGGGCTCGTCCAGGATGAGCTGGAGCTGGGCCGACTTCCCTTTGTGTTCCCCCGTGATGAGAAGGAAACGGCTGGCCCCTCTGCCACTTCGCCAGAACCCTTTGCAGTGGCGGCAAACGTAGCCCCCACGAGTCTCACCCTTCTTCTTGTCAACGATTTCCCACGGGGAAACGGAGCTGAGGACCAGGCCACACTCCATCTTGGCCCAGAAGACGTGGGCTGTCTTATCCCCCGTGTTCTTCTTCTTGTAGTCGTCCGAGGCCACGCTCGTGACATTGTCCGGGGTGATGGGCGGGAGAGCGCGCTCCTGCTCCGACGCCGGGTCCAGGGGGATCCTTTCAGCGCCAAAGGCAGCTGAGGAGTCCCTTTCCCCCAAGCCGAGGCCTTTGATGTGGCTCTCCGAGTAGCCAAGCTTACGGTAGATGGGGCCGGCGTACTCTGGCTTGAGGCGGGCTGTCCACCACTGCACGGTGTTGCAGCGCCAAGCCATCTTGACCTCCACCACCGACTCTTGACCCAGCGAGTTGGAGAGCATGTTGTAGATCTCCGGGAAGTGGCGGAAGGCCTTCAAAGGAAGGGTGATCCTTTCGTCACATACGGCTCTCAGTCGCATGTGCTGCTTGGAGTCATGGATGTCAGCAACAGGGAGATCCAAGACCACCTGAGGCGTACGGTTGATGAAGACCTTGGCAGCGAAAAATGATCCGATCTCGCGGTAGAGCTGCTTCCACTCCTGGTTAGTCGTGGGCACCGGGAGGTCGTGCAGGATCACAAACTCTTTGGCCTCCTTCATCAAATCCCGGTGGTCCTCTCGTCGCTGCAGGTTCTGCTGCTTGTTCTTGGCCCCTCTCTTGTGGGACCTGACGGTGATCGGCAGGTGGCTCCACACCGCGTAGAGGTGCCTGGCAGAGTAGGTGTGGCCGAAGCAGGAGAAGAGGCTAACCAAGTCCCACGTCTGCACCTCCTTTCTCCAGTGGGTGTTCCCGTCCCCCTCGGCATGGAACGGGCCGATGATCTTATCCAGGGGGGGCCTGGTGCCCATTGCAACCTGTGCCTCAATCTCCTCCATGGTGAGGGCAATCGGCTCGAAGAAGGGCTGCCTGAAGGAGCTGGGGTGTGTCCTCATCTCCAGCATGATCTTCTCCCCTTCGGGCAGGGGCTTTGCCCACGTAGGGGGCTCAAGGGGCCCCGGGTGCTGCTTCCATCTGCCCCCGATCATGCGCTGCTCCCCCATGTGCAGCTCGATGATACGTTTGAGGCGAAGCATCTGGAACTCGACCGAGCCCACCGGAACTCCCAGAACTGCCTCCGGGGACTGCTCCTCAGGGCCAAAGGCACCTGTGGAAGACAGCCCCTCGCCGGAGTCCCGGGCGACGCGCTCACCCTCACGCTGCAGAGCGGCCAAAGTGGGAAGCTCTTGCAGAAGAGAGGCAGGGAACGGATTCCTGCTCTGGTTCAGCAGGAACTTCGTGTTCAAGTACCTTTCCTTAAGGGCCTCGATGTCGTCAAGCTCCATATCCTTGAGTGGGCACTCCGGGTTGAACACGTTCATCTCCAGGGCCGCACGCAGCTGGGTGCCCCAGGCATCAATGGAGTCCGCCACCGGCCGAAGGAGCTGGGAGCGCTGGGATCCCTCATCCTGCATGCGCTTGTTCGAGGCCTTGGCCTCTTCCAGGCTAGTCTGCGCAGCGAAAAACTCGTCACCCTGGTTCCCAGGGCCCTGCAGGTAATTTCGCTTAAGGAGGGAACGAAGCTTCTCTGTATCCAGCTGCCGGAGGATTGACGCACCCTTTGCCTCCTCGACACTCTGTGCACCCGCCTGCATATCCACGATCACATCCAGCTGGGGGTTGATGTGATCCAAGAACTGCTCTTCCGTGGGCTTCTTGGGCTGTTTGTCCACCGGGCCCGAGCTCTTCTTGGTGATGTCCATCGCCGCCGCCAGCTGGGGATGGAAAGCCCTGGTCTCCTGGCTTGGTTGCCAATCACCCCGGAGGTGGGGTCTGTCCCCTGCCTCCTTGTCGGCAAACTGCACCTCGTCGAAGGGCTGTGTTGCCACCGTGTGAGCCAAGCTAAGCCTCAGGGCCATAGGCACCTGGTCGGCAAAGCTCAGCTCCTTCTGATCCGTGGGCCTGGGTGGCGGCTGGGCCCAGGAGCCAATGTCCACGGAGGCGGCTTCCTTCTGGGCCTCGTCTGCATCCGTGTGCCACGTGACACCCTTGGGGCCACAAAACATTCGCCAGGAGGACTGGCCTAGCTTGATCTCTGCCGAAGGCGGGCCCTTGTCCACGGCGATGACCGACTTCTGGCAGAGCTTACACTTCCCCTCCACCTTGTTGTCCTGCCGCTGCCAGTCGGAGAAGCAGTTCGGGCACATGAGGGTAGCCCCCGTGCTGCCCGGGTCAAGTTGGCCCATGCTGCTGTGCCCCACTCCTCCGCGAGCACGGTTGTAGGGGGCGGCCAGCATCTTCTCCTGTGCCAGCTGTCGTTTGTAGATTTGGTACACCTCAAGGACTCGTTCCACAGCCGGGCGGCTCCACTGCTCCGCCTTGAGCTCGGAGAACAAGGAGGCGATCTCCTCCTTTGTCAATTGCTGGGCCCAGTCTGCACTCTTCTTGCCGATGCCGGGGAAGTTGTCCGGGAAGCCCTCGATTTTGAAGACCTTCTCCTCCAGGGAGCCGGCGGGCAGGGCCGAGTAGGGCCGGGGCCTGGTGGCATCATCCTTGGCCACCGTGTCGCCGCCCTCAGGGACAAAGTCACCTGTGGTTGGCACCTCGGGCCTATCCATGGGGTCGTCCACCGCAGCACCCTCAGGGACAAAGTCACCTGTGGTTGGCACCGCCGGCTTGTCCATGGGGTCATCAGTAGCAGCACCCTCAGGGACAAAGTCACCTGTGGTGGGCACCTCCGATCCCGTGGTGTCCATGGTGGTGTCCTCCGTGACCGCCACCATCTCGCTGCCCTTGGCCAACAGCCTTTTCATGGCAGCTTCCATTTCCTGGAGTCGCAAGTCCATGCTGGTGTCATCCACCTCCAAAGTCGTGAAGGAAGCCAATGCCGAATTGGCCGACTCATCCTCGTGGGCATGGACATTGTGGGCCAAGGTAGCACGGGCCAAAGCAACCTCGTCGTCCGGCTTCTCCCATTCCTGATCACTGTCCCCTGTGTCGCGAGGGGGGATCAAACTCTCAACCGTCTCCATGCTGGAGGCCAAGACGTCATCGACATTAGCAACGGGGGCGAGTGCCATGGTCGAAAGTCGCAAGGGAGAAAGCGGGAGCGGTTTCAAATTTTGAAGGACCCACGGTCCACGATCTTGGGCCAAAATGGCAGAGCCATTTTGGCAGACGTCTCCTGACATAAGTCTTGCAAGTCGGCAAGCTTTGTTGCAAGTAACTACTCTAAGAGGCTGGCCCGATCCGATGCGAAGGTCCACTGGCAGCCTGCAGAAGCGTTCATCGCGAGGACTCGGTGATCGCGGCTTGGTGCCGGCAGCACAGAGCGGCACTCGGCCCTCAGACTTTTGCTTCGGCCGCCAGCTGTAAAGAGGCCTGCCTAGTATCCTAATGAGACGGGAGGCAAGTCCTTCGCCCTCTCAACGCAAAATGAACAGACTGCCTAAGGCAGCAGTAAATCCCAGCCAAGTCTGGCTGGCTCAAGCATTCGACACCATGGTAGTGCAGAGGCGCCATACTCACTGCGCTATCCATGTCAGTCGGTTCTCCTGGCGGGGCACCAGAGCCTAGAGCTGGCATGAGCGCAAGAAAGTCGAAAGCCTAGTGCTTGCTGAACTATTCTAGACGACTTACTACTAGTAGACCCCATGTGGTCTCCTTGACGGGGCAGGCCTTCTCTGGCATCTCTGTGATCAAACCCTTGTCCATAGCAGCCAACCAATATGTGACCTTGCAGCCAGGCTCACACACAGGCCCAAAGGCCGGCGTGACGTGGACGTAGGTGTGGCTACCCTCCTCCGGCTTGTTGATGTCGAAATTCATGTCTTCCTTGCCCGGCTCACCGTTGACCTGAAGCTGCCAAGTTCCAAACTCCAATCCAAACTCCAAGCCCACGCCGAAACACTTAGAAAAGCCCTGCACCCTGTGGCCATTCCAAACCCTTCCGAGAACTCGTTATCAACTTCGGAGAGCAGACGCTGTAGTGCACGGCGATCATGGTAATGCTCTCGTGGTTGGACGGCGTAACCGCGAACTTCAATCTGCTTTTGCCCGCATCATCCTTCACCAGCTCGAGCGTGTGGGGGAATTTGCCATCCACAAAATGCCCGGAAGATGGTGCAGACTTGTCGAACAGATTGGGGAACTCGCCGATAACAAACGCTTGGGCCTCTGCCTCACTCATGCCCTTGTTTTCCATCAGCCATTTGGCACGGTTCTCTGCTGGTGCACCATCGCAGATCACTCCTGACTTCCAGGTGAGTGGCTCGCGGAACGCCAGAAAATGAGGCTCATGCTTATCCTCATGTGCTCGAGCATCTCCCAAGTGGAAGGTGTGCTTCTTCTCACCTGGCAGAGCACAGAGAGTCAGTTATCTTGCATTATACCCAAACCCCTGTTTTCATTCCCGGCCTGTGTTCCAAAAACTGTGAACTGGCTGCAGCAGTCCTTTCTTGTCGTCTCCGAGAGGGTACGCGTAGAAGACCGGATGTTTTCCCTTCTCCTCACTTGGCCACGGATCTCCCATGTGGAAAGTGTGCTCGTTTTCCTTGGGATTCCAGTAATCGAAAACAGGTTCCGTGCCGGGAACCTGCTGCTGGAAGGCATAGAACACGATGTCCTTCTTCTCTTCCTGGGGCCATGGATCGCCGGTGTGGAAAGTGTGTTCCCCGATCTCTACGTTCACGTACTCGAAGATTGGAGATGCCATTGGAACAAGCGAGAGCTACCGCAGTGCTGCTACGTCCCTCGACAGGAGCTGACAGCGGATGGCGGGCTTCAGGACTCTCTCTTGTGGACGCACATGCAAAGCAACTCTATCTACACGCATGTGTATATATATATATACACATGTGTATACATATATATGCATATATATATATACATATTTATATTTATATTTGTTTATTTATGTAGAGAGAGAGAGAGAGAGAGAGAGAGAGAGAGAGAGAGAGAGAGAGAGAGAGAGAGAGAGAGAGAGAGAGAGAGAGAGAGAGAGAGAGCGAGAGAGAGAGAGAGAGAGAGCGAGCGAGCGAGCGAGGGAGGGAGGGAGGGAGGGAGGGAGATAGAGGGAGAGAGAGAGACAGATAGAGAGCGAGAGGGAGAGCGAGAGCGAGCAACTCCTCTAGTGCTTTACAGAAGCGCTGATGCTGCAGAGCCTGCCCCAGAGGTACACAATCGCATCGAAGTCCTCAAAGCAGCGGATTGCGAACTGTGGGTGAAGCTTCTCCACACGAAGTAGTGAGGTGATAGATACCCTGTGACTGCCTGATTGATTGATTTGATTGATTGATTGACTGCCTGTGGGTGCGAACACCCTTGCACTTGCAAGGCAACAGAGGCTGCTCCGTGTTGTACAACAGAGACAGCGCTCACAGCTCTGCACAGAACGAACGACGGGACACGGCATGCAAGCTCAGACATGTGTGCAACCCTGTGTCCTTGGCCTATCTCACGGTGAGGACGCACTGCCTTGCTGCAAGGGCAGAAGATGAAACTCACCAAAAGCAGATGGCAGAAACACATCGTTTCAAAAGGCGGGCAATCTTCAGCGCAGCCACGTTATTCTTAAAACAGAAAAAGCTGCCAACACTCGGTCCAAGGATCGAATCGCACTCTATGCTGCCCAGGAAAGACAGCGGCCAAAGCCGACCCAACGCTTGAGCCATATGTCCGTTGCATTGCGCTCCCTTGCACTTTTTGGAGGTCGTGGACACGACGTGAATCGTGAAATCCCGCCTAGAATCACCGCCAGCGCCACGGTGCAAATGCCGAGGCCTTGCCTTGGTTGACGCGAAGTACAGCAGGGTCTCATGAGCTGGTTTTGGGAGGAGCTCCTCTCTCAGCCAGGCTGCGGATTGCGGAATACATCCGCAGAGATGTGCCTCGAATTGGCCAGACATACAGATGGGCCATACACATGATAGCTTCGCTTACTTTGATGTTTGACATTGCCTGAGTGGATGGGTGCTCTGTGTATTAAGTTGGATTGGTACTAACCTGCTCATCCGTGTATGGGGAAGAGCACCTGAACAGAAGTGTATCAGCGGATGAGGCTTTAAGACTCTGTCTTTTTATCAAATCATTACAAGAAGGCCACTGTTGCTAATGATTTCAGCGTGCATAAACAGATGTACAATACCACATCGTTTGTGGAGCAAGTCTGCTTCAAGTCTCGAGTCTGTCTGATCACCCGCTGAACATCCAGGCAACGTGTGTATGAAATATCTCTATACGTATATACATATATAAGTATAAAGATATACACACGTCTTTGTAAGTCGGTGTACCTACGTGTGACAGAAGGACCATGTGTGTAAACATGTGTACAGACACGTGTGCTTGCATGCCTCCATGCATGCACACCAGACCGACAGACACACAAACAGGCAGGCAGACAGACAGGCAAACAGGCAGACAGGCCGACAGACAGACAGGCAGACAGTACATGCATCTCGTACAAACATTCATTACATACACTGCATGCGTTATATATATATATATATATAGATATATATATATATATATATATATGGAATACATTACATGCACTCCATACACTACATACACTACACACATTGCACCTATTACATACATGACATACACTACATAAACTACGTACAGTACTTACATTTACCTGAAATATGTATACAGTACACACAGCACACACGTACATACATTACATACATAACCAACATTAGCTACACCAGATACAATGCATTCATACATATATACATCCGTGCACGCACGCATACATTGCATTACATGGTATTACAATACATGACACGACACTACGTTACATTGCATGACAGTGTTAGATTACATTGTAGACTCTAGACATTGATTAGGTTGCATTGCATAACATAACATAACACAATCAGATACATACGTACATACATACATACATGCTTTCATTCGGTCATACACCCATAGTTGTATACGTGCATTACAAACATTACAAGCCTTGTATACATACCTTACATACTTGCTTGCAGGCATGCATTCACACATATTCACACACATGTAAATACATACATACATACATACATAGATACATGCATACATACATGCATGCGTACATGCGTACATGCATGCATATACACATACATGTACACACACACACTCACATGTGCACGCGAGCCATTGGCCCACTGGAAAACATCATGTTCTACCGTTCGTATGTATGTTGTCGCTCAAGCCGACATAAGGTGATGTCTCGCAATGCATAGATTGTGAGTTGTGCTGAATAGACTTAACAGAGTAAGTAGGCACAAGATAATCGCAGATCCATGGTGCAGGTTGACGTGCCGGACCTTGGCTATGCCGGAGTCCAAGCCACCCAAAGCAAGACAATCCTTGATGATGACCGGCCGCCACACGATCTGTCTTTCAATGGCTTTCGGGAGAGGACTTGCCAGAATGCAACTCACTCCCGTTGCCCTCCGCCGACTTGCTGCCTCGCCACCATCTCAAAAAGGACCTCAGCTTAGCTGCATCTGTGTAGAGCAAGCTTCAGCATGATTGTGCACTGCACAAACACTTATCCGCCAGGTTGCGGCATAGAAAAATGTGAAATAAGCCACAAGGAGGAGGAAGTCCAGGCGCACAGACTCGAACGTGCCTGGCACTTGCAACCCTTGATCTCTTCGCCAGATCTTGACCTGAGTCTCCCAAGTATGCCCCGAGTCCGCCTCCCGTTTGCGGCGACCATACGCGAGCCTGAATACGTCCCACGAAGCACAGGCCAACCTCGGCTCTCAGCATGGATTCGGCCTCACTTCTTGGGATCGCTGAGTCTCGGGTCCAGATGCAAGTTGCACCAGATACTTGTGCGGCGTTGATCTACTTCCTTGGATTAAATGGCCTTTCAGGCTAACCTGAGGTGGTAGCTTCTCGGGACAATGTCGAGTCAGATGAAAACATGTCGAGACATGTGGAGAGGATTCTGGGCTCCGGCCCAACGTTTGTTCAGACTCGACTTGAGATTGCTTTCGAAGTGCTTCCTCATCATCTCGGTCTTGTCTTTGCAATAAAACAAAGACCTCTGTCGGTTCCGCTTCGTCCAGGCACCCTTTCCCAAAGGGCCTACCCTTTCGTTGCAACCCTGATCGATCCCACTCCCTTAGCCTAGTTCGGCAAGCATAGTGGTGTAGTCACACTCCCCATACCATCCGTGGAGGCGAGATCAACGATCATGAGCCTGCCAACAACTCACACGAATGGGAGATAGGCATAACAGGAGAAGAGGTATGAATAGCGACACGAAAATGGCAAGAGAAGAACAGTAATCACAACTAGCCATGATGACATTAATTGTGAACACGTCCTGCTGTGACTGCAATTGAGCAATGATGCACGACTCAGCCAAGCTGCATTGAGGTATGCCATTCGCAGCAGGTCGTCCTCCACAATCTCTACATACTCCCCAGCCACCGTCCGAAGCACTTCACACCTTCTGACTGTTTCTACTTGTAGCATCTTGTGGTTGGATACCGGCGTCATCGAAGCAACGGCATGTGAACTGCGGTCAAAGATGAAAGGCACCGGGTTGCCCTTGAGCTTTGGCCCTCAACGTCTCGGTACACGAGCTTGCTGCCTTGTGTTGCCAAAGCGGCTTCATCTTCAACTTCCAGTGTAGCTTTGACACTGCCTGCTGCACCAACAGACGTCAGGGCCGTGAGGGAACTATGATCCAGGCTCAACAGTGACTGCTTGCACGTCTATCCCCCGCCATGTCGCAAGCATGCATGACAGGACCTTCCAAGTCCAAAAAGCTACTGGCATGCAACCGCGCGAACAAATCCCCGCCAGTCGCAGAAGCATGTACAGCACGGTAAGCCTGGGCGAGATTCGTGCAGCAATGATGATCATGATGAGGAGGAGGAGGAGGAGGAGGAGGAGGAGGAGGAGGAGGATAGTGCACTTTGGTGTGTGGGAGGTTCGTTTTAGCAAGGCGGATGTGCTACAGCAGCATTGCGCTGCAGGTGTGTCTGGGAAGCATTGGGAGGCTCAAATGACTCTCGACCGAGCCCGTTCATGCTCTGGTGGCAAGTTGAACCAAAGTGCAATTCCGACCATGCAGGCGGCACATTAGCCGGTGCTGACACAGCCAGCACAAATTTCAGATGCAACCCTTGTGTTGCTACTGCGACTTTCCCTATCCACATGCACAGCGCCATGGCACCAAAAAGATGGCACTGGGTGACTGGCCAGCTCTCAAAGATGAGAGCGCCCAGGAAGGGGCTGCCCAATGGCTGCCAAGGTAGTAAGGCCTTTGAGCCTCAACGGAGAAAGAAATCCAGATTCCTTTCTGTCTTTCTCTGTGACCAGCTTGAGAAGGTCCGAATGGCCAACCGAGAAACAGAGAGATCAGAAATTAAACAGCTTGAGCCTCTGATCCAGGAGAGTGACCTACGAGAGCGCACATGCACGTTACCGACGACACTGAAGCTGACAGTCTCTGAAGTCTTTAGCTGCAGAGCTGAGGAACAATGGCGAAGTGCTCCAGACTGAGGCAGCAGCCAGCTGGCAGCCGCGACGACAGCAGCAGGTAGATGAATGGCAGCCTGGAAAGTCGACGGCGCGTTGGACAACACAGACAGGTTCAGAGGAGATGTGCAGCAGAATGGCAGGTAGAGACCATATGCACAGGCAAACACCGCAAATGGCGTATCCTGCATCGCCATGGCGGGGCTTGCCACTTGCTGCTTTCTTTGCAAGCCCTTCACTGCTTTTTGTCGTCCTGCTGGTCGTTGCAAACAAGGGGAATCACACCCCCAGAGCAACCCGCCAAGTCTGCCTCAGGCTTGCCTATTACTGGCACCCGCTGGCAGCAGAGATAGCTTCGAAGCCAAGAAACGAAGCGTCAGAGACTCAACGAGCAGTCGCGGTGCGTAGCGGCTGTCCAGCTTCAGCAATCCAATGCACCCTTGCAGCCTGGATCTTCATGTCTCGAAGCCGCTCCACAGCCCTTGCATCACGTTTCAACGCTGACACTTCCCGGCAAACTGACTCGGATGCGCTCTGAGCCAAGGCGCCTCCGAACGGACTTCAGTGACGCCAGGTCCAGCGGCCTCAGAGGCGAAGCAGCAGCGAAGCAGAAGCTGAAGCTGAAGCAAAGGTCTCCACAGCTTGCGACCGCATGGATGTGCACGGGGAGCGTGACTTTTCTCTTCGTGGCGAAGCGATTCGCAAAGAGTTCACGGGAGTTCGGGCAGCGATCTCCCGATGGATCAGCGGCCGGATTCCCGGTCTGCTCCGCTGCGAGAGAGTCTTCGTGGGGGCTTCGGGCTTGTGCTGACTCCATCCGAATCCGAATGCTGGCAGAGGCGATCCCATCGAGGCCGTGCCCGCACCACGTGTAGTATGCACTATGGCCATTAACTGCAGCCGGCTGCGCGGCTCCACCAGGATGAATTTCCATCCATGTTCAGAGTTCTGCACGAGAAGGGTAGGTGAGTTGTGCGTTGCGAGGCTGTTAGGACGTGCAGAACTGCAAACTCTCCGATGGTGCTGATTTGTTCAGCAATCGCGGATACGATGATTGGAAAAAGCCGCTCCACCTTGCCTAACCCCGATTGTTCCGTACACCTGGCCACGCTTTGAGACCCAAGACGATGCAAGGCAAAGCGAAAGTGACACGTGCAGGATGGCGGATGGCTGGCATGCGCGGTGGAGGAATCTGAGCGCTCAGAAAACCTCCTCTTCCTGAGATGTTGCACCGGTTCACAGCAGCATCATGGGTGACACGACCCCTGAATCGCCCCCGAGAAGGACGTGAGCCTGTAGGCCCTTCTGGTAGGCAGTGTTGTTGCGGCAGCTGAAGGAAGACAAGCGCTTTTTGCCTTTCCAGTGAAGATCGCGACCAAGAACATCGGAAGCGGCGGAACACAGGAGACACAGAGGGGGGGTTTAGGGGGAGGGGCCACTTTGGCTCTTTCAGCCGCGCTGCTCGAGGCCAGGCCCTCCTTCAGGAGCGCCGCGTTCTCTCCCAGCGAGAGGTGCACCTTCTGCCTCTGCAGCGGCTACAGCGGCTCGGGCTCCAGAAGCGGCTTTGAGAAGCGGCAGAAGCGATGCTGATGCTGCCAAGGGGCATGTGCTCGTCGACGTGCTGCTGCAGCGTCTCAGTCAGATTCTCCGTTTTGATGGCCATGTCCTTTTGCAAAGCCTCCCAGCCTTCGGCCACTTTGCCATGCGGTATGCAGCGAGCACCCAAAAGAGAAAACAGGACCATGATGTTACTAGGTCGCGGAGTACCGAGCCTTCTTGCAATGGTTTCGAGTGCAGCTCCACAAGCTCCTTGCCCTTCTCGAGACTCTCTTGGCCCATGGAAAGCAGACCTCAAAGACCCAAAGCCCAAGGGCAGCCGACCCGGTCGACCCGTCACACGTGGGATCTCGGCGGCACATCTCGGCGGCACGCCTCGTGTGAGGTCGCCGAATTTGTATCCACCGCTCGGATCTGCTCCGCGAGCCTCCGGACGTTTGCCGCCGAAGGCAAAAGACGACTGGGAACCGACTGATGACTTCCGCATGCGTTACTCTTCGCATCTTCGCGTCCTGCAAGCCACGCGCGAGGACGTCGTCGGCCTGCGCCAGGCCAGCCTGCGCCGAAGCTTTGAAGCGCTCCCCGCTCCCGGGCCCAAGTCCCCCGCCTGCAGGGTGTCGGTGCTATGCTTCACCAGCTCTGCGATGTGCCGGTCCACCAAGACATCTGACAAGCCGCCGGCCATGGAGGCTATGACCTTGGAGATAGCGACAAGCCGGCAACAGCAACTAAAAGTAAGGAAGATCCCTGCCTCCTCAAGCGGACTCCTTCTAGCCTGGGAAGTCCACACCTGACCATCCCTTGCAAGATGCTTCCAAGCAGCTGAATCCAAAGGCAGCTGGAAGAGGCGCACTGCAAAGTCGGCATTTGTGTTCCTTGGCGCTTTTGCGACAGAGCCGCCCTAGCAGCGGTGCTGGGTTGTAGAGGCAGATGCACGAAAGAAGTTGAAGTCACGCGGAGGAACTCAAGCCACGGTCTGCCACCCTTCCAAGGATTCCTCCTGCCAAGCAACTCCAGCAGGCGGAGAACGCCTTCAGCCTGCCAGCTCGTGGGCAGTTGCTTTGGCATCCAATAGCTTGCGCAGTCACGCCGAACAGTGCCTCGGTGGAGCTAAGCACCGCCAACAGCTTCTCGGCCTGGCATGACAAAATGTGGCTTTTCTGCGAGCTCGAGATGTGGACGTGATTCTCTTGGCAATTCGTCCCTGTCCGGCTTGGCTTGATTGTACCCCATGTTGCTGCCAAGATGCTGGAATTCCTTGGACCATTCCTGAGAAAGAGGCATGCACGTGTACAATGACGATGCTTGGCTTCTCATATTGCTTCCCCGAGTTCTCACTGCAGCTCAGATTCGCACGATCTTGCCTGGCTCTCCCTTTTCCATGAGAGGCACGATTTTCTCTTCCGCCAGATCTGCACAGAGCACGGACAGCTGACTGCAGGATTCTGAAGCAACAGCCTTTGGCGAGGCACCTGTTGTTAGACCATCTCCACTGCCAGATTCGAACTTTCAGAAGTTTGACTCACTGACACCTCACCTTCGCTGCTGATTCGAGCCTGGCACGCTGTTTAGCGCCTGCAAAAGCTGAATCACCCGGCCCTCGGGCTTGAAATCCTCCTGTCTTTCAGGAAGCGGAGGCCTGCACCTCACCTGCGACCTGTACCTGCGGATTTCTGCCGTTCTCCTCGGAGAAGCCGTTCACCACCTCTGCCAGAGCCTCCGCCCGGACTCCGCGGAGCAGCGCGATGAGCACAGAGGCATCCACCTCTCCGCCACGCACAGCCGAACCTGCGGCAGAACCTTTAGCGGCATAATGATGGAACAGCGAGCCTGGTCGACTATTTTGGCCATGTTCTCGGGCTTGTGGATCTTGCCTGAGGCTCAGCTGAAGGAGCACAGCGATAAGCTTCATTGCATCGCGACGCACACAAAGGGAAGCATTGGTGGGGGATCACACGGTATTGACTACGAGTAATCCTCGTGTCGGTGACTACTGTCGGTAATGGACTTCTCACGTGGATGCATGAGAGTGGGAGGGATCGAACAGTGCTCTGAGCATGCAGTTTGATCTGCCGAGACAGTGGCCCGGCTGAATGCAGGCAAGTCTCCCAAGAGGGGAACAAGCTTGTCCCGCAGAAGATCCTCTGACTCCTGCAGGTTTCATTTTTCGGCTTAGTGACAGCGGCACTCCTTCAAAATCCTGGAGAAGTGGCACCACCACGTTGCCAATCCGGCCAGGACCGACATGCGCAATGATCGTGGCCAAGGCCTGCGGATTCAGGGTCTGAAGGGCTGTCTCACATCTCGGGTGGACTACATTCCCCTATCTTAACCGAACCTCTGGACACCATATAGAGCTGGCGACGGTGTTTCGGAAGATGATTCGAACAAGAAGCTCACAGAAGTCCCAGAACCTCTTGGATGGGACGTGAGGACCTCACGCTGGTGAAGTTGGACGGGCTGGAGCCACAAAGCCCAAAGCCCACAGCCATTCCCCAAGGATCCCCAAGGTGTAGGAGTTCGCGTGTCACGAACAGCTCCTTTGAGCTCGAGTGACACGTTGGACTTCTGGATCCAGACATGCTAAGCAGAGGCTGCCTCGGCGGGGGCTTCTAGAACCTCGGCAAACAGGAACGCCTGAACCCCGGACTGGAGAGGCTTCTTACTTGCTGTCGGTATCTGACACTCTGCCCTGTCCAAGGCACGACGATGAGTCGCCCTGGCAAAGCCCCGTTCAAGACTTCCAGCATGGCACCTGTCTGAAGCATGACGCAGAAGCAGGTGCGGATAGCTAAGGTACTGAGCCACTGCAGTATCCCAAGCACAGCACCCGTGTCCAGAGAGCAAACGATCTTGGACAGTGCATCCGCGCGTTCGGAGCTGGACATCAGGGGTACGACCACCTTACAACTGAAATGTGATGAAAGCTTGCTACAAGTAGAAGGGGGTTTCAATCAGATTGCAGGCACATGTCAATTGCGTCGCGGAGACATGCCCTTGCATGGAAAGCCCAGATAAAATGCCGAACCAGCTGCATCTATGAATTGACGATCGCTCACCTGTCAAACACACCAGATGATCACACAAGTAGTCATTGCATGTCACTACACCTGCTCTTTCGTGTGAGGCTATTGACAGCAGTGCGGTTTTGGCTTGTCGCTGCTAGCTGCGGCTGCCACACAATGCCTGCATCCTAAGACATGAACAGTGTTATGGTTTGCCGTGACATTTCTCCGGGCCAAAACGATGCACACCATCAGTACAATTCAACAGCTAATCAGAATTCTCTAAAACGAAGAACTTCGTAAACGAGAACAAGGTGGATTTTGGCCTTTGGTGGTGACGCAGGGATTGGTCGGACTCTTACTATTGACAGATGTCAGTTCACAACTTGTTGGCTGTCTACACTTTGTCTGTTGCATTGTGTATGGTTTGCAACCTCTTCATCTTCCGAGGGAGTTGCACATGGACTTTACTCGAACTTTAAGCAGGCCTTGCCCTTTGGTATCTGGGGGCATACTGCCCATCTGGGTCACACGGGCGGATGCCAAGCCACGAATCTGTCTCCTCTTCTGGGTTCTCGCTTGCGAGGAGACGTGTCAACTTGAGGATTGGGATCTATCGAGCCGCCTCTCTTCGCGATCAAGCACACCAGAGTGCATCAACGAGAACGGAAATCCGGAGCGGACCAAGGTAGCATGGACAGAGGCACACGAATGCTTTCATTTCAAGAGAAGGGGTCCCATGGGCGATCCGTCCCCACGGAAGGAACGGGTGTGTGCACGGATCTTCATGTCCAAATTATGTTGTGGATTATGTCGGGAAGCTCTGGAAGTTTAGCAGATCGTGTTTGAGGCCGCCAATTCGAAGCACCTAGTCGAAACCAAGATCCGTAGTCCCGGCCCGGATATTCCGTCTCAAACTCGAGCACCGAAGCCCTGAAAACTTGTGCTCAGGCACGGCATGGGCAGCCCCACCATCGTCAGCCTAACGAAATGATGCCATGAGCTGCATCTGCCTGACCAAACAAGGCCGGCAGCATGCCCCTCATCGTCTGCGAGGGCACCTGCGCACAAGGAAGTCCACGGGCCTAGAATTCCAGAGCAGACCCGCATCGGCCTGCAATATTGATCTTGCTACACCAACAGACAATGACTTTGCGAAGAAAACTTGAGTACTATGTCACAGCCCCCGGAAACATCTTGATACCACGGTGAGACATGGAGTTCATGTTCACTCGGAGCTCAGCCTTATCGCAGAAGCGACGCAAAGTTCGGCCATCTGACCTTTCGGCAAAAGGTCTGTGTATGATCAACGTTCATCTCTTGTCGTCCCTTTCATGGCTGTGCGGCCTCAGCAGCAGCGAAAGTGTCTTCCGGGGATGCAGTAGCGTGGCCCCGGTGACCTCGGCACAGCTCCGCGGTGCTCCCGAGCTCCCAGGCGCCCTGAGCCGAGTACCAATTCGGGATGGCATCGCAGCAAGAGCGGCAGCGCACAGCAGCCGCAATCCATCCCAGCGGATCAAATTGTCAAAGGCCCTAGAAGTAGCAAGGAATCTGAAGAAAGGGAGGCTCTCGTCTTGTAATTCTTGGCAAAGCGCCCACGGCGAACACTTACTTGCTCGAGGTTTGGACTTCACTGCTGACACAAAGAACTTCGGGGCACGTCTTGACACACACCGCTCAGCTTTCCATTGAAGCAAGGCTTCCACGTGAGCTCTATGCAGTTACTACTACGAAGTCTCACTACCTACATCCAGACTGTCTGGTGCGATGATCCCCGTGCGGAGATCACATGGAGTGATCCAAACGTTTAGACATGAGTCTCTGAGCGCAAAAGCTACATACATGAAACTGTCATGAACGCATAACGGTCAAAAATCGAAGCATGAAGGTTTGCTTTGGCTGCATCTGTCATTGCAAAAAAGCCCCATGACGGAGCTACCAACAAGAGCCCTGCAGGAAATATCGCTGGCCCGCAGCGAAGCCTGCAGCGGCTGCTGCAGCCTTCATGGCTGCTGTAGCCTGCAGCAGCAACAGCCGGGGCAATTAGCATTAACGTTCGCATGCGACTGCACAGTCTTCCACTTCAGAACCACAGCTTTGATTTGCCTTCTTCTCATTGCGGCATGCAAAGATTACTGATGCTCCAGCACGCAGGACAGCCTCAGCGAGCACTGCCTAGACGCTGCGAGAAACTGTGGAGATCGAGGGAGCTCTTGCAATGGCTCAGAACCTGGCAACGCTTGTTTCGTAGCCGAGCCCGCTGTTGGCCCCTCAGTCCCGAACAGTGCCACTACAGGCTGGCAGCTTCCCGGTGAAGGATCCGGGTGGGCACGGATCAAGTGACTTTCGGAACGAGACTGCAACGAACTCGGGTAACAAAGGATCGAGCCCGTCACAAGGAAAACCTCGGTGACAGCCAACTCTGCTCTGATTGCCAGACGCTACGCTGCTATGCAGCTACTCGTATAAGTTCCCGGCGCGGCCTCGCAAGCTGCCAGAAGGCGGTACGTACCGAGGCCCACGAACCAACGCAACATAAGCCTTGTTGCGAAAGTTTCGTAACTCTCACATACAGAAGGACATGCTTAAGGTTCTCATGTGCAATTGTGAGCGAGGAAGTATGTATAGCCTGATATGATACTCCATTCAGATAGGCAGACTGATAGGTAGACCGACCTACGGACAGAGAGACGCACGCACAAAGATAGATAGGTATTAACAGACGGACAGACAGCCAGACAGCCAGACCCGCAGACCGGCAGGCAGCGAGACAAACAGACAGGATCGATATGACACAGGGGAGGGAGTAGAACAGATAGAATTCATTGAACTGACGGAATAGGTAGAATAGACAGAACGAATGAAGAGTCTAGACTTGCTTCAATCAGATTAGATTCAAAGTTATCCGATTGACTGATGGATTCATAGATCGGCATACAGTAAAGGCTTGTCCTTGACAAAGCCCTCCAGCCAAGGAAAACACAGCGCGGCACCGAACAGTAAGATAGCTGCGACTGTGTGATTTTTCCCGCTCGAACTGGAATAGAACTCGGGGAACTGGCAGAGGACTTCAGAAGTGAGCTGTACATTCGCCTCCGTTAGCTTCGTGGGTCCTTCAAGTCGAGTGAAAGGCCTTGTTGGGCGAGCCGCTTTCTGCAGCCACGGCTTTCCAATTCTATGCATTTCCAGGTCCTGTTTCAGGCTCTGTCGGCAGCGAGCTTTGCGCATCTCTCCCACCGCGCAGCGCTGCACGCGCACGATCCGCAACAGCCTGCTCACAGAATTCGCAACTCAAAATGTTCACATAACTACTTGGGCCTGGGATGGACAAGGATCATACGAACTTAAGCTGCTTTCGGTAGCATCGCGGAGAGCTCCTCCAACTCGCGGACAATGCAAGCTGCCCACACCAAGAGCCTAACTGTGGCCTAACTGCCTTACTCGAATCAACAACACACACACACACACACACAGAGCCAGAAATGCCTGAACGATGGCAGGATAGCCCGCGACAATGGCCCCTTCCTTGGTCACAGCAAGCATGTGGCTGCTACCGGCTATTGGCTTCTGTGGTCTTTTCTGTTGGTGCCCTGCTTCGTGTGCATCTAAAATCTGTCCGACGGCAGGAGCAACAAGACGGAAAGTGAGGCAGTCGAGACTTTAGCCTTTCCGTCTAGAGGCTGGAACCGGCCCCAGCTGCTGCACAATGGGGCCGATGTCCTCCAACTCGACAGACAGGGCCACAAAGCACAGAAGAGATTGCTCTCGGAATCCCAGGCCGCCAGCCGGACCCACCTTCTCAATCAGTACTATTCGAGTAGGCTATGGTGCCGCTTCGTCTCACAGATGCCTTCAAGCTGAAGCAACAGCACCACATGCTACGTGTAGGCAACGGAGCATGTCATGAGAAGAAGTCGCTGCCATGTTGCGCTAGTGTGCGCTCGGCGCTCCTCCAGGCGTGGCGACTCCACGGAGATGCTCTGGTATCTTTCTGCAAGCACCACGGACCTCTAGATCGACGAGAATGTCTGCCACGTGGCTCAGCCCCCATCGCGTTGCCAGCAAGTGCAGGACAAGATAGGACAAGAAGCATGTCCGTCTCCGCGATGAAAACGCAGTCAACCTGCGTGGGGTCAAAAAACTCTGCCGGAAGCTTTGGCGCTTCATGCACCTCCTCGCCGAAGTCTGTGATCCTGCGGCTCTTGCGGCACCGAACCAACATCGGCAGCTCCGCAGTTCCGATACTCTCCACTTCCTGACAGCTCGAGCTCAGGATCACGAACGTTCAAGACGTGTCGAGAGCCTCTGGAGCCAACTCCAGCCTGAAGAAGCTCACTGTTTCTCACAAGATGGGTAGAATAACGCATTGTTTACTTGTTCGGCGTATGACATGAGTCGTGAAGCAAACACTCTCAGAGCCACCTCCGAATTCAGCTAGGCAGCTCCTTCGCAGCAGCGAGCTCTAGGCGCGGGCCATGCGATGAGGCAGCTGTACAACCTGCCACAGGCGCTTTGCTTTGTGTCATGCAGCGACAAACAAATCCGAAGCACTCCTTGCAAGTCACGTGGCCCACCTTCGTGCAGAGTCTTGACCCAAAGCTCCACGCCCTCCTTGCCCACAGCAGGAAGGAGCGCAACGAGCAGTTGCCACGGCCAAGCTGATTGTGCAAAGTGGTGCATCTGCAAAGCAATCGGCAGCCAAAACGCTTCGCTTCTGCACGGCTTGTAACTTCACATGTACAGGACGGGAATACTATGTGACGGTGCTGACGACACGGCACCAAGATTCAGTCCCACTGAAAAGATGACAAATCCTCACATAATCATGCTGCAGATTCATACTGACTACCTCAGAGAGCTCATCATCCGACATTGAAAGCTTGCCCGAGCAAGCCTTACTTCGGCGCAGGCGACGCTTCGCCTCCAAGTCAGATGCAAGACAAAATGCTGCCTGTCTGAGCTGTCGGGGACGCTGCTGCTACGGTTCGTAAACGCCGCTGGTTGAGAAAGGTGAGTAGCACAGGTACGGCACACCAGCCTCCAGGGCTCCAGCGCCGTTACCTCAGCACAGGGCAACAAAGATGCAGCAGCCGGATGATTGGCGCCGAGGCACGCAGCTTCAAGCCCAGCGATGCTCCTGGCGAGAGGGATGTCTTTACTCCGCGTATCATGCTAGCGTTCTACTTGGACAGGCGGCGGCTCAACCCCTGCGAACCACTGTTTGAATATCCCTCATCACCCTGCATCCCATGCCTTGCCTGTGGGGAAGTAGAGGTCTTCCCTTTTGCCAGCCAAAGGCAGTGGTCCATCTGGCAGAGGCCTCTTACGAGCCAACCGTCCAGTCCGAGAGCGGTGGATATCTTCACCGCTCGGAATGCACGGACCCGCTTCCTGCAAGCCCTCTCTGTTTCTTTCTGCGAGCTTCAGAGCTCTCTCTCTTTCTCTCTGGACAGGAAAGAGCCGGTCAACCCCGCGCCCTCGCGCGCAGGCACACGCCCGCAATTCACGGCAGGTTTTGTAACTGGTTTTGTACCCCCCCGCCCAAATGCCGATACCTCTCTTGTTACCTTTCTCTCTCTGCTTTGCTTTGCTTCGGGCCGAGGGTGTAGTCCTCTCGACCTGCGCAGCTGCACTACCCTGTCCATGATTGGGGAGAGATGGGCGAGTGTCACGCTTAAAAGGTTTGGAGTAGAGGAAAAACGTGCCCCGAATTCACTTCCCCGGTAAACCTGTGTCACATATGGGCACACCTCATGTTGTTGGCTCGAGAACTTTGTGCAAGGCCTATAGCGCATGCTGGAAACTCATCTGCACTCGGGTTCCTTTCTCCGAGTTCGCGAAAGTCTGACCTGTTTGGCAACATGGAAGAGAGATCCGCTTTTGGCGGGCTTTGCAGGCTCTCTCTCTCTCTCTCTCTCTCTCTGTCTCTTTCTTTCGGCAGGGCTATTCTCTCTCTCTATCTCTCTCTCTGTTGCTTGCTTGCTTGCACGGCGTGTGGGAGGCAGGGCACAGGTCCCTACACCCCCTGCGCGCGAGCGCTACGCCACTGTTCGAGTCCTGTGTGAAACGTGTGCTTTGGTGCTCGGCAAGGTTCGTCCCCGTTATCCCCATTTGCAGCTACTGCTTCCGCCCCGCATAGCCGAGCACGCCTGTGTTTGTGCTGACTGCTTGTAGGTATTCTACAGCTTTGCAGTCATTGGGCCCCCGAGCATTGAGCTTTCTCTCCTCCAACTAACGCCTTACAAAACCGTTACACCAACAACGCTTGACGAACTCCGTGTCACGTGTTCAGGGTCGGCCCCTACTCCACAGGTGTTACTTAGAGCTGTTACTGGTTTGGTGGTGTGTTGTTTGTGCCGGTGCGGGTCCCCGGGGAAGGAAGCAGCGGGGTAGGGTTCGGCAACACAGCTAGGGGCGAAGTTCAACAGCTGGGTCCCCGCACTAAGAACACACTGTACTGGGCGTCTCTCTCTCTCTCTCTCTCTCTCTCCCGGGCATAGGGGTCGGTCAGGCCCCCCGGGCTCCAAGCCTCTTCTTCAACACGGCCCCCTGCGCGGTTTTGCGCCGCGGGGAATTAGCGTGCTGAGAGGACAGTTTGCCCCCCGAAGGTTTGACTCACCGGCTGCCTCTCTCTTTCTTTCGCAAGGGTAAGAGGTGAGCGAGCGACCCTCACCCCTGCGCTCCAGGCGCCCATATGGTATGGGAAGCATTCAAGCCACAAGCACACGAAGGCAGATCCAGGCTGTCTCTTCTTCAGCACAGTCAGAAGGGCACCGCGTTCGGTCGCACTGCCCTCCGCGCATTTCCGCTGTCTCTCTCTCTCTCTCTCTCTCTCTCTCTCTCTCTCTCTCCAGCAAGTTCTACTGCAGCTTCAGCTCTCTGTGATCAGCACGCATGATTTGGTTCCGGCACGCGCCTTTGCAGGAAGTATCGCCACTCCCAGCACGCCATGGACACAGGGCACCCAGCACCAAGCTCAAGTAAGATACGGCAACAAGGGCTTGATGTAAGAGCATCCACGACCGGGACTTCACATCCAGTGGCATCTCAAGTGGCTTGCAATAATCCCAGATTGTGAATGCAGTGGATGGCCCTCAATTTCAGATTTATCTCGAGCTGCAAGCCTATTTGCCTGAAAACCCAAAGCCGCGCATCCAGAACTTCCACAGCTGCTGCCCACACCTCCCATGAGCCCGTGACGGAAGCAGCCAAAGCTGCGCTCAAGCATCCGGAGGCCAGCCGCCAAGAACCGACCTGTAGTGGAAGGTGCTGCCTGCCGTATCTTTCACGAATTGGCAAGCGCCGAGTCTCGTCCACACACGGAAAACAGAAGTCGCAGTCGTGGCAGCAAGTGGGTTCGTAATCTCCTCCCCTGTTCGACGCCACACACACAGAGAAGCATAGCAGCAGCTCATTTATTCCTGCTTTTACGGCTGTCTGAGCTCCGCAACTGCGAATCTTTGTCTCATCCTGATTTCCTCCTTATCCAACTACTGATCATGTCATGTCATCCGAGAGCTGCACCCAGCGAGAGCAGAGGCTTGGTAGCAGCATGTTCCCCATCCTTGCAGGCGAAGGTGGTTTCAATGCCAACGCTCAAGAAAGGCAAGTGGCGAACGCACGGCCTAGCACTGCGCAGGTTGCCGAGGACGAGGCGATGCCATCAAGAATGCCTGAGGCCTCGTTGAGTTCAGGGCCGTGGAAGTTCAGCGCTCCCCTTTCTGATATCTTGTACACTCCTGATACCTGCTGAAAGTACCAACGTGCACAGCGCAGCCTTTTGCTTTTGGCAGGAAGTCTCGCAAGATGGAGCCTGGATCGCGACGCTCGCCGTGCCGGCTTTGAGAGAGGAACTTGCAACTTGTGGCATACGGCAGTAGGTCTTCCGCCTGCTGGCCACCAGGGAATTCGAAAACCAGCATACCGCAGTATGCCGCAACTTTGACGTGACGTTATGCGAGCACCGAGCCCGCTCCCTAGGAGATGCTTGATTTCAACGGGTTCAAGTGCTTCGCGACGAAGCCTTCGCATCCTGGTGAAAGCTGAATATCTGTCGCATCCTGCATCTTGTTTTGCAACTGAGCATGGGCTCGGGCTCCGACTCGGCTCCACATCTGTACAACATTTCGCGAATTCTCCGCACAGCAGTCACCACCGCAGCTCAGGCGACAGAGACCCAAAGATTTCCTGAAGGGAAACAAGAGTGCTCGGCCAAACGCGCGGAGCACTCAACAGTCCTCGAAAGAGGCTCCACAAGACCTCGGGCAAGCGTGAAGGATTCACATTGCCAAAGTGCCAAAGCCAGTCTTTTTCTCCAAGGTGCTCGTCCGAGGAGAGGCCAGCAGCTTGGCCGATGTGACCGGCGCCTGCGGTACCCAAACCTCTCAGAACCTGAGTGGCAAGTGGCCTCTGGCCGGTCTTCGACTGCGAACTCTAGCGATGTATAGGGAGCTGATCCAGGCAAGCGGTGCAGCTTGCCATAGCTTGCCTGAGTGCCACACGTCATGGCAGGCTGCCTTTCCTGGGCTCGAACGGACGAGAGTGGCTCGTGACGCACAGGACCGCTGATCACACAGAACCCAAGCGAGCCCAAACCTGCTTGTGCTCCTACCGGAGTGGTCCCCGAAGGCTTGAGCCCCAAGCCTCAACTGTCCCACCACTGCAGCTGCAGTCAGGTGTCGCCGCGACCATTGCTGCAGCGCCCCACGCAGGGCTGCACCGAGGTCCAGCGGTGAAGGTCTCAGAGGCTAACTTCTGGGCGATGCTCAGATCATGCCGGTGCAGGATGCTACTCCGCTGAGCTGCCCACTCTCCGTCCGAGCGGATTCGTGCCAACTTTCCGAGAAGTTCCTGTCGAGAGACAGCACAGTCGTCCACTTCACAGCAAGAGGCAGTTGGCATTCTCATCTGATGTGTGTCCGTTCCCGATCCCTGCCTCAGATTCCCTGCGTGCGCTTTCCACCTCACCCGGCAGGCTCAGACGTGCAAGGAGCTGCAAGCATGAAAGGAGCCGCAAGCCCCCTGTCACGCTCCACAAGAAAGCCTGGGGCCTACTCTTCTGGAGGCCCAGCCTCGCTTCGACACCGCATGGTGTCTCGACGCAGCTGCAGGTCTCTCCGCGCCTCGGGAGTGACGCAGCCGTTTCGGAAGCCAAAAGCCCCCCCCCCCCGCAAGGCGTTTGGGTTCGCCGCCTCGTCGACTGCCTTCTGCAAGTTTAAGTGGAGCTTCGCCTGGTGCAAAGCAAACTCATATGCCAGTTCTTTATCGACGAAGGGAAACCGCATAAACTTCGGAAAACAGACTCTATAGACCATACTTCCTCAGCAGACCATACTTCCCCAGCATACTCAGCAAAGGTCCACGGTGGTCAGATTCCAAGTCTTCGCATTGCAAAGCTCCGGCATGTATGCTGCCGGCGCCTGGGCATACAACTCGGCGGCTTGCTGTCGACGTTGGACCTCATCCTGGCACAAAGGGGATCGAGCCAAAACAATCTCCTGAAGTCTAACGGCTAACCGGCTAACTCCACTTGTGTGCGAAACTCAGGAACCTCGACAGTGAGCTCCGTGGCACCTGAAAGGAGGCCACCAAGAGCACATTTGTTCTCCAGACATGTCGCAAGCAGGATCTCCGATTAAGGGACATACAACATGGCAGCATTATGGCAGCATTATGCAGCATTGTTCGGGCCTGGGCTTGTAGGATTTCCAGCATCTGTGAGATCCGGAGACTGCACCCGTGGTTGCTTCGCAGGGCCGTGGTTTGTCGATTCCGGTACTGGCCTGGGCGTCGCATGTCGACACAGCCACGGCAGTACGATCTCACGCGATGATTGACTTTCTGAACCCGGCCATACGCTCGAAACGTGCCAGGTGTGCCTCTTGACTACCTGCAGGCCTGGTGGCAGAAGGCTTCGAGCTTCCTCCTGGAACAAGAAGCGATGATTTCGTTGGCAGGAAGCTGCAGCTGCCACCCGTGAGTGCCTGAAGCCGTTTGGCTCGGCATACAGCTTGCTCGGCACCGGATCCTCCAGGAGCCAGCTCTGCTTCGGCGACGTTACACAGACCCGCTCAACTCCTGGCCTCTCCGCCGCCAGGAACGCAGCTCCCCGGCTGCGGCCATCTGAGCTCAAGTCAAAAAGCCGAGAGCTGAAAGCTCTGCGAGCCGAAATCCGCCTCGAAAGCGTCGGCAGCACCTGCCGCCTCCTCAGCCAAGCCTCGGGAAGGAGAACTTACAAGTAATTAACTTGAAGTCTGCGTCTCTCCGCCGAGACGAGGGACGTCGTCGTTCGAGACTCGCGGCGAGCAAGGCGGACTGGGTGCGCTCGCACTGTGCCTGCTCATGTCAGAGGTGTGCACGGAGAACGAAGTCGAAATGCAAGCCATCCTGACCCGTGCAACGGACGTTCGGGGATTTGCATACGGAGTCTTTTTCTGCTGTGCTGAACTTGAAAAGACATCGAGGTCCAGGTCTCAGGTGTCTCTCAGAATCTCTCAGGGAAGTGTGAGATCGACTCCGGCGCCCCGGATCTCACGCAGACCTCAGCCAGCTCAACTCCAAGGTCGAGAGCAACCGGCATAAGAGTTGCTGTTCCTGCCAAGGCGCTTTGTTCCCAGAGTGCTTCCTGAAGCGCAGGGCTCTGGTGGTCCTGAGCTTTGAATGCAGCCCGACTTGGGCATAACCGAACATCGCAGAAGAGACACCAGTGAGCACTCAGCTTCCTGCCAGCGACAAAACCCTCTAAGCGACGGCTCCTAGATTTGAATCCCCCCAAATGCTTCTACTTTCTGCCGAACCCTTCAGCACGTCCATTCACGTCCTGACTTGGCTCCGAGACTTCGAGGACCTCTCTAGCAGCAATGGGGCTCCTCGGCAAGTGGCTAAGTCGGCTAAGTGCTCCGTGCCTTTGGGGGCACCTACCACCACGTGAGTACACGAAGCTCCAGAACTCGAAGAGAGTCGACAGGCTTGCACCGCGGTAACCGTTCCTCGAGAAGCGGCTTGGGAGCTTGCTGTGGCTACGACAAAATATTTGAAACACATGGGCTTCGCTGTGGTTGCGACGCTCGCCTTCAGCCGGGCTACATACACTCAGCTACACTCCTCACATCAATTACGTGCCATGAGAGGCTGGGCAGATGATGGATATCTCCAGCGATGTAAAGTGCTGCCGCGCGGCCAATACCTGCTTCAAAACTTGGAAGAAAATTCGTCGCAGACGCATTCAGGAACAAGTCGAAGACCGTGAGCTTTTGAAAGTGCTCTACTCTGCTTATCGAATCGAAGCCGCACAGCTACGAGTAGGATAGGTCCTGAGTGCATGCCCATGACGGACCTCGAGTTTTAGGTGGGACGCTCGCTTCCACAGCGGCACAGTGGCCAGTTTAGCGGCAGCCCTGCTGGGGTTCGGATGCAGTAACCGGAACAGCTTCCAGCTGTGCGTGAGGAACCTGGGTGGTGCCGGAACGCAGCCCTCCTCCGCGGTGGCTGCCTGGAGGCCCGGCAAGAACCCGCCGGACAAAGCGCTGCAAGCTGCTGCACGCTGCTTCAAGTTGCAGGCTCCTGCCTTCACTACGGTCTTTGCTGCCGTCTCTGGGCTAATCAGAAGTCGGGAGAAAACCTGAGAACACATCTCAGGGGAGTGGAAACATGCTACGATCCAAGTTGAGTCTCTGCCAACCGCGAACAAGGCACAGCCTGTTGCCATCCCGCATACCCCCGCCAAATGTCAGATGCAACCTCAGCTTCACAAGATGTGGTGTTCTTTCTCTGCGGGGCTGTCAGACGGGCTACGTTAGCCGTGAAACGCAAAGCATGTCACATCATCCATCATCGTTCACCTCTTTTGCGAGTCACTTCACGAGAGTGCCAGAAATCCCTCCGTACACCAGCGAAGCAAGTTTCAGACATTTGACACCGCCCGGGTTGACACAGTGGAAAGCGACATCCTGGACAGGGATGGCGGATTTCACGCGTGGAGGTAAGTTCAGACGTCAAGACAGCACGACAGTGAAACTGTCGTGGGCTCCTGCCTCGCCATAACGCTTGTGGAGCGCGTAGCTCGACACAATCCTTGTGTGCAAAAGGGAGCCGGGTGAAGAGAGGAACAGTTTGTCAACTCTTCGGCAAAGCGTCTGTGCAAGTTTGGAAAGCCCGTAGAGTGAGACCTCAGTACTGACGATGAGTGTGCCCGACATCTGAGACTCTATGGCCAAGCGGCATATGGATCTCGAATTTCTCGTGTGATGCTAAAGTCGTCCAATGAAGCGCCTAAGGAGTCAAGACACCGACTTCCCTCAGGCCCGGTCAAAGTTTGCCTGACAGTCCAGGGCTATGTGCAGCTACAGTCGCGCTATTTGTCTTTCAATAGGCATTGGGTCCATCAGAGATCTCCAAATGCAGCATCAGATGCACCAGGCATCTAAAACCCTACCAGTTTCATAATCATGAGAACAGTATTGACAGCCTGGACACCTTAAGTTGGTGTAGTGAATTTCATTTCAGTCAAGCTTATTTGTATTTAGGCTGACTATTTCATAACACTCAAAAACCTTCTTTTCATGAAGATGTGTCCTTGCCAGTAAAAATGAATGTTAACGAAAGTAGGACAGCAGTGCAGTGCAATGATTGAAAGCTGAAGACGGGGCAGCGTCAACTGTCACCAAGACCAGTCCACACCAATAAAGCAATCCACGTTCGACGCCTAGTAGCAGCAGTAGTAGTAGTAGTAGCAGTAGTAGTAGTAGTAGTAGTAGTAGTAGTATTAGTAGTAGTAGTAGACAGTAGTAGTAGTAGTAGTAGTAGTAGTAGTAGTAGTAGTAGTAGTAGTAGTAGCAGTAGGAGTAGGAGTAGGAGTAGGTAGTGGTCGTTGTCGTCGTGGTCGTGGTGGTGGTAGTGGTAGTGCTAGTTAGTGGTAGTGATAGTGGCAGTCTGAGCGTTTCTCGTTTCACGGGCTTTGTTCGTGTTCCTTTTTGCGATTTGTCCGCAGCTGCCGCTATCATTGAGGCCGCTCCACGCAAAAAATCTAAAAGCAGTAGTAGTCTTAGTGGTAGTCGTCGTAGTAGTGGCAGTACTAGTACTAGTACTAGTACTAGTACTAGTACTAGTAGTAGTAGGTAGTAGTAGTAGTTGTTGTTGTTGTCGTAGCAGCAGTACTACTAGTAGCAGTAGCAGTAGTGGTAGTACTAGAAGTAGTTGTTGTTGTAGCAGCAGAAGCAGTCCGTGGTTGCAGAAGTCGTGGTAGTGTGAGTAGTAGCAGCAAGTCTTGGTCGTTGTTGTCGTTGCCATAGTAGTAGTCGTCGTCGTAGCAGCAGTAGTAGTGGTCGTAGCTGTCGCAGTAGTGGTGTTGAAAATCTGGATGTGCACCCGTATTCCGTATAGTCGATGTAATTGTTGCCCTCTGGTTCCAATGACTGAAAGGAGAGAGTTTCGCACCCTCATTTCGCCATTAGGCAACGAGCAAAGAAGTCTCTCAGGCCGGTACACGTCACAAAAATTTCGAAACCCACGTTTCAAGTTTTTTTCGAAATCTTGTGGGGTTCAAGAAGCACAATGCGTTCGAACTCCGACGTTGCAACTCTTGCTATATCCAGCCATAACCCGTCCAACCGCAAGAATGGCACCTACTTGCCAAACGCTTTCTGGAGGTCCAACCACAAGTGTTGTGGTGTTTATCCAACAGCTTTGAAGCTGTGAGCATTCTCCTGCCGTTAGAACTCGGCCCTTCCGCTTGCAGCCGGAAGCACTTCTGTGGACGACCGAGGAAACGTTGATCCTCGAATGCACATGAGTAGCAGGCGCTGCAGCAGCACTTTATACTTTATAGTCACTGAGACTTGAAGCAGTCAAGAATCACACGCCCCTTGGCTCGACGGAGCAGCGGCAGCAACAACAGGGTCAGGAGAAAGTGCGACCTGCTGGAGCTGCGCACAGAATATCTGGAAACTGTCAACAACCCGCATCTGGCCAGGTTTGGTCTTTCAACAGAATCTACTAAAGGAGTTCGTGACACGAACGAGAGGGCTGCAGAGAGAGGCACAACCCACTTGGCTAAACGACATTCAGCTCCCGTCCCGAATCATTCAGGCTTGGTTGTGCAGAGAGCAGCTGCTGCGCAAAAGCCGAGAAGCAGGTAGTTCGTCTGATAAAGCTTGTCCACACCATCCGACGACAGCTGTCGGGATGGCTCCTGCACATGCCAGTTAGAGAGCGTTGAACATCAAGAGACCCGGCGTGGATGATTGCATTATCTTCACAACTCTGCGCACAGCTCCGCTCACACAAGGCATCATGTTGTTCAAAGGGCAGAACATGAATCCTTGGAAAGCTTTGCAAGCACGGCCAAAGACCTGCTCAGCCGACGCAGAGTTGAGGCCGGCATTGCCTCAGGGATAGATGAGGAAAGATTGTGCCAAACCCAAGGCTCAGCTGCCATGTACTTAGGATGCTGCAGACCAGCAGCGTCAGCTCGCCGTCCATGTGTTTCACCTCCTGCGAGGCAATTACAGATCAGATACCTTCTGCGCACCATACTTGAAGGCCAGACTCTTTGCTTCCATGACTCCGCGTCTCAACATTCCACTATAGGACGGGTATCACAGACTCCGAATATAACATCAAACCCTAAGGACTCATGGACGCACCTGCTAGACCGTGATGCCTGTGTAGCATGTGCAAAAGCGCCTGGCATCAGTCAAGCCTGATCAAGCCTCCAACTCTCGAAGTATCGCATGCTCAATCACTCAGCATCTGCATGCCTTCTGGCGCCATTGATGTTAGATAAACCCGGACTTTCTCAGCGGTCTGGCCAGAAGGCCTCTGCGAATTTCAGCACGGAAGCGAAGGAGGAGAGGTCGAGCCTCTGAACAAAACTCTGCTTTCTGTCTCCACTGCATGCATATTCTCATCAGCAGCCGGGTGACTGTCGATTGATGACGTCGCCTCCTGCCTCACCGCGAGGCTTCAGCACAACTTCGCGCTGTTGCAACGGGCCCGAATCTGCGCTCCTCTGTAAGGGCCGCAGCAGCCGCCTCTCCACGAGCAACACTGCGACAGCCAATGACCACGGCATAGCCAACAGAGGCGAGCTGGCCTGGGAAGCGAGCCACAGCTACACTTACGGACCAGAATGCTGCGCCGTTCCTTCTTTTTCCGAGCATGTCCCCCCGTCTCCTAGAACCCGCGCACTGACCTGTGCCCATTGCTGCAAAATCCTTACATGCCCCAAAGTCCCAAAATCTCAGGCTCTTGAGAAGCCAAAAACCGTGTAGCCCGGGAGGGCATCGGATTGGTGTAAGGTCTCCCACCACCACCACCACCACCACCACCAACCCTTGCTGCAGCAGATCTGTTTGCAACTTCGCCCTGCAGTCTCTTGGAGCTTCGCGGCTTTTTCGGTCCGAGCCCTGGCTTGGCTTATGGGCCTAGTTGTGTAGCCTTTACCGTGTCCCGGCCAAAAAGCTTCCCCTTTTATACGAACGCACCATGCAACTGCAGCGCTTAAGAGCCTGCGGTGTAATAGCCGATGCCGGTATTTCCTCCGGTGACGATGGCAATCGGTGCACCTGATGCGGAGCGACCCGACTCGCTCTCGCTCTGGAACGGCAGTGGCAGCAGCATTTCGGAAAAGAAACCGAATCATACAAGTTGCAATCAGCTTGCGACTGCACCTGCCGAATCTCCTACGGCCGCCATCGCGAGAACAAGGAGCCAAGGGCGGGCGGCTAAAGCCCGCATGGGCGCGTGCTACATCTACTGATTGCTTGGGCTGTTTCCCACCTATACATCTTGCGCATCAAGGATACGAACTTTGCCACACCGCAGTGGGGTGTGCTGATACTCTGATTGCTGACACTCTGCTTCTGTTTCGCTCGAGTGAACAGGGTCTGGAAGCATGATGGTGGGCGAAAGCAAAGACCCATGGAGTTGCTGGTTGATGACAGCCTGAATCTGCGATAAATTGGTATTCAACTCGGAACTCGGATCCGACAGCACGATACAGAGACTCGATAAAAGCAAGCCTCCGCAGCGCTGATCCGACATCGTGCGCGGAGCCGCAACTGAGGCGTTCTCAAAGAAAGTTTCGGCAATGAAAGTTCGGATTGTTTGGATCTCTTTCATTGCAGCTTTTGCTCCGATAAGGCAGCTGATGTCATACGCTGTCACTTGCAAACCTGGACGGGAAGTCCAAACACAACAGAAACTCGGTCACCTCTGCCGCATCATTGCAACTGCCGTTGCTTGGGCGCTGCGCCTCACCGTCTGGAGTTCAAGCAGTATTCGGTGTTCACTGGAAGCGCTCACCCACGAGCGCAACATCTCAAGTGAAAGGCTCACATGGCCTCGTCCAGCACCTCTGCCCGAGCCTGCGCTCGTGGAGAAAACGTGTTCGGAATCTGTTCGGCCAGTTTTCGGACGAGAGCCGACCAGCCCCTCCGCAGAAAACCCCCTGCCATCCCCCGCCCAATGCAGAATTGAGAACCGATTTGAGTCGACAGATGAAGCCAGCCTTTATAATAGCACCGCGAGCCTGAGCAGCTTGTTCCCAGATGCTGCCAAAGGCGGACCTATGGAAGATGGTGCAATGGTCTTGAGCCTGGTTCTCTGCACCCTTCCCAACTACTGGTGCAACCTTGCAAAGCCGCGCTTACTGGGTAAAGATTCTGAGCGCTCAGCACAGGCAGAGCTTCCTGCAGCAACTGGTTCCCGGTGGCCGTCCTTAAGCCGTGACTGACTACGGACTGCGAATTGAGCAGCGGCTTTGGATTGGAGTCCTGAATCTTCGTCGAGCCCCAGCGGAAAGAGTCACACGTGAGTGACGAGTGAGTTTGACCACCGGCCGCTCTGACCTCTACCAGACTCTACCACATGCTCCGTTTGCTGCCGAAGGCACTCGACACCGAGAGCCGCACGCGCCTCCTGGAGCACATTTGCAACGAGCACTCCTCGTTAGAAGCTTCCTCGGCCATCCTCAGCCTTCTCTAGATGTGTTGGCCCAAAAGCCAAGACAGACATGCCTGCACGCTTACGAGGTCAGGAGACACGAGAGAACAGCGCAGCGAGCACTGGGGTGCTTGTTGTATAGCTTCGTGTAGCAGCCCTTTCACCACCGTCGGTGCAGATATTGATCCCTGGATCAACGAAAATGTGCTGGTATTTTCAGACATCGTGACTCCATGACTCATGCTGCTGCAAACAAAGGCAGCTGAGAGCGAACGTAAATATGCTCGAGGCTTGAAACCAAAAAAGCTCACTAAAAAAAGCAAGCAACAACAACGGAAGGCCCTGTACCGGCCTCGGCAGCCACCTCCGCGGCACCCTCCGCGTTGGCCGCTGCCAAGGCCGAATGCAAAACCTCGCAGGTGGGGATGCGACCCGGGAATCCCGAACCTGGCTGCGACGCCCCGACTGCACAGCTTGATGATCTCGATCGGCCTGTTGAACCTGCTGCAGCTGCTCGGCAAGCCTTGCCACAAGAGGGCAAATCAGACAAACAATAGATTGCGTGCGGCAAAGGCTTGTTTGCGACTGCTGTGTTTTGTGTATGTATACAACCTGTATCTATATTTACAATCATATTTACACATGCCGTTGTATAATCTATATATACATATGTTTGTGTGTATATATATGTATATATACATATATATATATATATATATATCCATCTAATATAACTATGCATAAATGTATACAAACATGTATATGTGTGTGTATACGTGTTGTACACATATTTGTATGTATATATATATATGTATGTATATATACATATATATATACATATATATATATATATATATATATATACATATATATATATATATATATAGATATAGGCACACAAACATGCATACAAAAATAGATACTTACATGTGCATGTGCAAATATATATATATATATATATATGCACATATACACATGTATACATGCAAACATATATACATATGTACATATATACATATATACTTATATACATTTACACATATATACATTCATACGTAAACACATATATCTATATACATATACACACTTTTGCATACATATACATACACATACACATATACATATACATATACATATACATATACATATACATATACATATACATATACATATACATATACATACACATACACATACACATACACATACACACACACATACACATACACATACACATATACATATACATATACATATACATATACATATACATATACATATACATATACATATACATATACATATACATAGATATATATGTATACAGATATACACATACATATATCTCTACAAAAATGCATATATAAATACATATGAACATACATATACATATACATATACATATATATATATATACACATATGTTTATATATTGCATATATATATATATATATATATGTGTATACATGCTCCCCCCCCCCGTGGCTGGCTTAAACAGGGTCTATTTGGAAGCTGGCATTCGGGCTTTGCTGTGGTCATATATCCTCACACGAAGGCCGGCGAGCTGGTCCCAGCGAGCTAGGGCACGTATTGGAACAACATTCTGTTAATGTCAGGTTTGTGTCACAAGACCTGAGTCGGACAGCAAGCTAACACAAAGAAACCGGCAAGCAGCAACCAAACAGGCCCCTCCAACTTCACGAGAATTCAAAAATCTGCGTTTACCCATCCGTCGGAAAGAAAAGAACTCCTCTCTCTCTTGATCAGGGGATTGGATCCCGAAAAGATGGAGAACAGCATACGCACCAGAAGAAGAAACCTCCGTTCTCTCTTGGCAACGGAAAGAGATCTTGATTATTTCCTTTACCTTTTCAAAAGATGGACAAGGGCATACGCTCAAGAAGAAAGGGCGGAGATTCCCCCACCCCTCAACGAAAACACGGAGAAAGTCCCTCCAAGTCATTCAGCTGATCTCTAGCAGCGAGCTCCTCTACCTCTTGGTAACTCTCCATCTCCTCTGACGATAAATGAAGAGAGCTCGCTGCTTCGTCATCCGCAAGAAATGAGCTTCTTTTCTCCAAAAGGGTAAGGAAGAGATCCCTTGGCACATCCCCTACCGCAGCATCTCCAAGGAGCAGAGAACCCTTCCAACTTCACGAGAAAAAAGGAACTCCGGCTGCCTCCTAGTCGACAACAAGAGAAAGGATCTCCTTGTCGTCCCCTCTTTCTCCTCAAGGGATAGAAGAGAGATAGCTTTCAAGAAGTGAGGACTGAACTGTCTCAATCTTCAAAAGAAGAGTCTGGTCCTCCCCTTAGCCTTCAACAAGACATGAGCAGCCCTCTACCCCGTCCTCTGAATTAGCTCCCGAAAAGACAAATCCTCTGCCTCATCCTCGACAAGAAGAGACTGAGAGCAATCTAAGGGGGCAGAGGAAAGCGCCATCTCAACAAATCAAGCAGGCCGCTCCAACTTGACGAGAAAGAAGAGGGCTCCGTTTACCCTTCTGCAAGAAGAGACCTCCTTTCTTTCTTGATAAGGGGGGGGATGCTCAAGAAGAAAGGGTGGAGCTCCCCCCAATTTTCAAGTAGAGACATCTGGTCATCCCTCAGCTTTCAAAAGGAAAAGACCTCATGCTCCAAAATAAGAAGAGAGTCCCCAGGATATTCGTGGCAACAGAAGAGAGCATCCCTTTTTACCTCTTGGTATGTCGCCTTGTCGTCTTAATTAAGAAGATTGAAGAGACATCGCTCCTAGCAAGAAAGGACAGAGCTCCCCTAGCTTCCAAAAAGAAAGATTTTCTACCTCATCCGCCACAAGAAATCACTGAGAGCTTCCTCCTATGCAATGAGGCGTAAGAGAGCTCCATCTCAGTCCAGCAGACAGGCCCCTCCAACTTCACGAGAATTCAAAGGTCTCCGTTTACCCATCGGTCGGAAAGAAGATAACTCCTTTCTCTCTTCATAAGGGATTGGATCTTGAGCATTTCTTTTGCCTTTTCAAAAGATGGAAGACAGCATACGCACAAGAAGAAGAAACCTCCTTTCTCTCTTGGCAGTGGAAAGAGATCCTGATTGTTTCCCTTACCTTTTCAAAAGATGGAAAAGGGCATACGCTCAAGAAGAAAAGGCGGAGATTCCCCCACCCCTCAACGAAAACACGGAGAAAGTCCCTCCAAGTCATTCAGCTGATTTCTAGCAGCGAGCTCCTCTACTTCTTGGTAACTCTCCATCTCCTCTGACGATAAATGAAGGGAGCTCCCTTCTAGTCGAAGAAGACAAGGCTCAACGCATCTCCAGTTTCGAAAAGAACTGCGGCTGCCTCTTATAGTCGACAAGATGAGAGAGGAGCTCCTTGTCGTCCCCTCTTCCTCTTCAAGGGATAGAAGAGGGATAGCTTTCAAGAAGTGAAGACAGAGCTCGCTCAATCTTCAAAAGAAGGGGAGGATCAGACTTCAACAAGACATGAGCAGCCCTCTACCCCATGCTCTGAATTAGCTTCCAAAAAGACAAATCCTCTGCCTCATCCTCGACAAGAAGAGACTGAGGGCTTCCTCCAATCTAATGGGACAGAAGAAAGCGCCATCTCAACAAAGCAAACAGGCCGCTCCAACTTCATGAGAAAGAAGAGGGCTCCGTTTAGCCCTCGGCAAGAAGAGACCTCCTTTCTTTCCTGATAAGGGGAGGGGATCCTGATTATTTCCGTTGCCGTTTTAACAATGGAAGAGAGCATACACTCAAGAAGAAAGGGTGGAGCTCCCCTCAATTTTCAAATTAGAGACATCTGGTCGCCCCTC